CTGCACACTGTCTGAAAGAGGAAGTCACTGTTTAACCCAGTAGTGCTTATGTACCCCACAGCCACTCAGCTACTGAAGTCCTCGCACGCATGCGAGAAGTAATCGGTGCACGAACATTTGACGATGGTTTCTTCCGAGAACTATTTCTCTCGAAACTACCACAACCGGTGCAAACCGTGTTGGTGACACTGCAGTCAGTCCCACTCGACGACCTGGCAGCTTCAGCAGATAAAATACTGGAGATATCCAGCAGACCCGTCTCCAACGTATATTCTATCTGTGACAAAACAGAGCGCCAGGATTCGGAGGTGACCAAGTTGTGCAACTCTGTGAAACGGTTGCTACGATCTCGAAGTCCTAGATCACGTAGCACTTCACAGAAACGCACCTTGGCGCATCGCAGCAAGTCGCGTGGTAGCCCTAAAACGAAACCCAACAGGGTGGAAAACCCTGAATGGTGCTGGTTTCATAACACTTACGGGGATGAAGCCAGAAAATGTCGTAAACCATGCCGTTTTAAGAAGGACCAAACTCGGGAAACGGTCACGCCGGCACGTGCTCACGGCAACCGTAGCCGGCGGAAAAAGCCGTTTGCTCTACGTCACCGACATTAAAACGAAAGTCCGCTACCTCGTCGACACCGGCGCAGAAGTTAGCGTTCTTCCAGCAACGACAAAGGAGCGTCATCTCGACCCATCCTTCAATCTTCAAGCAGCCAACGGCAAGGCAATCGCGACATTCGGGAGACGGTATGCCTACCTCAACTTAGGTTTACGCAAACCTATTCACTGGATTTTCCTCCTGGCAGACGTCTCTATGCCTATCATTGGCATAGATTTGCTGAACCATTACGATCTACTCGTAGATGCTCGCCGTCGACGACTGATAGATAACAACACAAAGTTATCTATTGGCGGCACCACCTATGTAGGTCCGAGTTTAGCCATCGTTAGGACTAAACAATCAGACGACGCGTCCTACCAGGCAGTTCTGGAGAAATATCCAGAGTTACAACAACCGAAACACACTCTTCCGTGCATAACCAGCAATGTTATGCATCACGTCACAACCACAGGTCCACCTGTGGCATCCAAAGCTCGCCGTTTAGCCCCCGATAAGCTGCAAACGGCGAAAAATGAATTCGACCATATGCTGGAACTGGGCATTATCAGACCGTCGAACAGTCCTTGGGCATCGCCATTGCACATGGTGCCCAAAAAGGATAGCAACGACTGGCGTCCGACCGGTGATTACCGAAGGCTTAACGCCAAAACAACTCCGGACTGCTACCCTATACCCCACGTTTACGACTTGACCGCAACCTTATGCGGCATGAACATTTTCTCGAAAATCGACTTGGTCAAAGCGTACAACCAGATACCTATGGCAGCAGAAGATATCGCGAAAACAGCCATTATTACTCCTTTTGGCCTGTTTGAATTCCTGCGCATGCCTTTTGGTCTTCGGAATGCAGCACAAACATTCCAACGCTTTATGGACGACGTCTTCCGTGGTCTGAATTTTGTTCATGTCTACATAGATGACTGTCTAATTGCGAGTCCAGATAAGGAAACACACCTTAAACATTTGGACCTCGCATTCGAAAGACTCAAAAAACATGGCATCACAGTTAACTTACAGAAGTGTGAAATAGGAGTTGAATCACTCAGCTTCCTTGGGCATACCATTGACAACAAAGGTATACGCCCATTGAGAGATAAAGTGGCGGCTATCACAAACTATCCAGAGCCGACCACTGTGAAACATCTCCGCACTTTCAATGGCCTGGTAAGTTATTACCGAAGGTTTATCCCTAACTGTGCCTCTGTCATGAGACCACTCACAGATCTACTTCGAGGAACTGCGAAGTTCGTGTCTCTGGACAACGCGGCTAGACTTGCTTTCTCCAAAGTCAAGGAAGCCATTTCGAACGCAACCATGCTTATGCATCATGACCCCAATGCTCCTCTGAGTATTGCTGTTGATGCATCTGATTCAGCAATTGGAGCAGTTTTGCAACAGTTGACTGACAACCAGTGGCAACCGTTAGCCTTTTTCTCGAGGCGGCTGCAAGACGCGGAAACAAGATACAGTACATTTGGTAGGGAACTCCTAGCCATGTACTGTTCTGTACGCCATTTTCGACATTCTGTGGAAGGTCGTGATTTCATTATTTTCACAGACCACAAACCGTTAACGTTTTCCCTCAGCTCGGCGTCTGACAAATACTCCCCTCGTGAGTCGCGACAGCTGGATTACATTTCCCAGTTCACGTCAGACATCCGCCACATTTCTGGAGCAAACAACTCCGCAGCCGACGCACTATCTCGAATAGCTTCGATAAACTATATCGAGGGTATTGATCTCGTTGAACTAGCTCGGCGTCAAAAGGAAGACCTTGAGCTGCATCATGAGTTGTCGTCCACAACTCTCAAACTGCGACTTTGTCCTGTTGGATCAGACAAGGATGCAATTTTGTGCGATGTCTCTGCTAGTCAACCACGCCCAATAGTTCCGAAGAGTTGTCGACGCAACGTCTTCAATACGTTGCACAAACTCTCTCATCCAGGTGTACGAGCCACCATTAGGCTTATCGCACAACGTTTCTGCTGGCCTGGGATGAACAAAGACGTTAAGGAGTGGGCCCAGTCGTGCTTAGCTTGTCAAAAGTGTAAAGTCACGCGACACACGAAAAGCCCTTTAGGCTCATTTCTAGCCCCAGACATGCGTTTCGACCACGTCCATATAGATATTGTAGGACCCCTACCAGAATCTAATGGATGTACCTACCTTTTCACCTGTGTTGATCGTTTCACACGATGGCCGGAAGCAGTACCCATTAAAGATATTACTGCCGAAACAGTTGCTCGTGTTTTCGTCGAAAGATGGATCGCGAACTTCGGATGTCCATCCTACGTCACAACCGACCGTGGGCGCCAATTTGAGTGCGGACTATTTCACGCTCTAACGGCACTTTTAGGTTGCACTCGGTTCCGAACGACAGCCTACCATCCACAAGCAAATGGCATGGTAGAGCGTTTCCATCGACAGCTGAAAGCTTCCCTTTCAGCTACAAACATACCTCAGTGGACCGAGGCTCTGCCTCTAGTCCTACTAGGTATTCGTAACGCGTTGAAAGTTGATGCTGGATGCACTCCTGCAGAACTCGTCTATGGGACCACTCTTCGCCTACCAGGTGAGTTTGTTTCCCCTTCAACTTTCAAACATGTTTCCGACAGGGCATCTTACGTGACTAGGCTTACAAACGCAATGCGTTCAGTTAGGCCTTCTCCGATTAGACCGCAAACGACTGATGTTTTCGTCCACCCCAGTTTACAGAAGACATCACACGTGTTTGTTCGCCACGACGCTGTTCGTCGACCACTTGAACCACCCTACGACGGGCCGTTCAAAGTGATTAAGCGACATGAGAAATTCTATGTAATTGAGCGAGGCGGACGCGAAGATACTGTCAGTATCGACCGTTTGAAACCAGCTTATTTCGAAGGCAACCCCATTGTAAGTGACGTTTCAGCTCGCTACATCCGGCCGACGGATGACTCAATTATCGAAATTCTCGACGATGTGCCTGGTAATGCACAGCTGCAACAACCAGCGGCGCAACAAAAAACACGATCAGGTCGAACCGTCAGGTTCCCAGAGTACCTGAAGTCATATTCAACTTAGCTATGTGTGTGCCAACCATTTTTTTTCGAGGCACTATTTTTCTTATTTACCGGCACAAACCCTCGTACACTTTGCCTTTTTATATCAATTTTTATTTACCATGTAATAAAAACTAAAAAAAACGGCGAAGATAAGCGTAAATTTTTCTTTTTCGACACGTTTATATATAAATAATTCCCATTTTTACGCAACGTTTTCGTGGTATTAAAGACTTTTATTTATATTCCAGGTGCAACGAGCACTGGACGGAACGTCGAAAGGAACAGATGACCGCGACCGACGTACAATTTCATTTATTGTATTTTATTTATTTAATCGCCACGACACCCTAGAATAAGGTTCAGACAACCAGGGGCCACCTCACGCAGTGAGCCCATCGGAGAGTTTTACCAGTGGAGAAACCACTGGGTTTTTACTTCCGGCTGGTATCGTCTTAGGGTCCTCACGAACCCACTAGGGGGGGAGTGATCTGTAGCGTCATACACTTCCCCAAAATCAATAGCCTAGGGTTTGACGACTTCGACATTGATGCTGACCTTGATAGTTTAACTGGACTCGCTAAGCTGAAGGCACCCGGTCAAGCATCCTCGCCATTTGGCACGCTGTCGTGTTACGTTGCATTGCTCGTATTCGACTCTCTAGCCAGTTAGTTGGAACGCATCGGTATTTTGGCATAACCATCCAAATATACTATTCCATCCGACTACGCTATCGTGTTCTTCCTTGGTCTCGTATTCGTGGGTATATAACAAGTTCGAATAATTAGTGATTGGTCTTTGCGTCTGTCAAGTTCGCACCAGGACAAATCCTAAAGGTTTATTAAATGTTTTTGAGCTTCTGATTAAGACTGCTGATCCCGGGTCGTCATAACAAGAAGACTTTCCCCGCCACATGATCGAAAGTTTCTCAAACACTTTTCAGCACAACATATGATGCAACACAGATTTATATCATGGCTTGTTTAATGTTTATCACTTCTAAAAGACATGGTCTTGCAGTATTGCTTACTTGTATGAAGCTTCTCGTCAGATTGCCAGCTCAACATACCAATTATTTCTGAAGTATTCACAGAATCCCTATTGCGCCTTTAGTGAGACTGCTATGCTTGGTAGTTGGTTTCCCATGTGACATAAGAAGGTGGAAGGTTTTAGGAATTCTCTTTGAGAGTTTCACCAGAATGGACAGGTGCCTAAATGATTTTTGAAAAGATGGGACTCAAAAAATCCTTAAAAAATGATTTAGAAGTTAAAAAACCAGAGTTATCCTAGCTGCATTCAGCGTTTGCACAAGAATGCATTCGTACAATGTTTCTTGAACAGTTTGTTTAGTCGTGTCCAAAGCCAACCTACTGATTGCCGTATTCAGTAGTATAGGTCGCCATTTTGTTGTTTTATGTAAGTTTCATGTTTTTTGTAGTCTGCCAGTATTTACATTTATGCGTGCAGACATTTTAGTTCTTTTGTTTGCATTCTGCCAGATTACTAAGATGTGATTACATGTTTCTGCTGTGAGGTTTGTTCAAGTGTTTAAAAATCTGGGACCTTCATGCTTCACTGTGAATATGAAATAAGTGTACAAAAACTTATTACGTATATCTTGATTGTGTGGGATAGATATTGTTTCAAAGCCGGCCTAAGACTGACCAGTTTCAATACTGTTCAGCTTCACAAAGCTGAGATAGTATAGTGACTGTCAAAAACACTAAGCACATTTATTTTCTCATAACATCTCCGAAATACATTTACATTTGCCGAGTGTTCTCAGTCATACCAGTCGTGTTATTCAGTGTCGAACGGATAGTCAGGCTTAGGGTAAACGCTTTCAATGCATTTATTGATCTTCAGACCCATACATGAGATAAAGCCTCTCTTGATTGACCCTACCAAGAGACATAATCACATGTTCCTCATCGTTTTCGGTCTACCTACTCAAGTTTCCTGACGGCTGAATTTATACTGAAGGTTTGGCTGTCAATTTTCATAGAATTCGTCCTATGACTAGAGTTTATCCATCTATGTTGGTGATAATTGATGCATTCGATTTACATTCTGTGACATGTCATCACACAGTAAATTATTGTTCAGTCGGTAATTCACTTAGTAACGACAGGTGGCAGCTTGCATGGGAACTAAATACTAGGATTTTTTTAAGTTAACTAAAAAATCGGGTAATTTGATAGTGTCGCTGCTTGCCATAAACTGATTAGTTCCCCATCATACTGTGACAAAATATTCACACTATTATCCAGTGGTACATTGTCAAGTCTTATAAATATTCATCAGGGAATTAGTTTGTGTCCAAAGTCCTAAGATCCAACGCCTAACTGGAGGTTGGGAGCATCAAACCAGAAAGGTTTCAGACCTGAATAAAGGTTTATCGACCATATTTTCACCCTGCAACGGGTTCTGAAATACGGCATACTTACTGGCGATCGACACGTCATATTTCCCTGCCTGAAAGCAACATTTACTTCTGTCGACTTTGAGGTCTTGTGGCAGTGTCTGACTGTGATGGTAGTACCAAGCAAGTATATGATGCTTATCAAAGCTCTCTATCCTAACTCACGCCTCCGTGTCACGGTTTAAAGAGAGTTGTCATCAGGAATGACGACAGTGTTCGCCAGGGATACCCACTGTCGCCTTTCCTATCTGACATCGTCATAGACATACGAGTGAACATAACCTTAGGTACTTTTTACTTCATAAGGATTAGTCTCACTGGAAGTCACGTGGTTGACTTGAAGTGTACGGACAATATTGTCCTGTTAGATGAAGATGCTGACTCAATACAGTCCTCTGGATGCATTGGGCTAAAATCTGAGTATGTTTGGCTGATATTCGTTCCACACCTGTTAAGTGTAAAATGATGCTTCAGCACTGGTCTGCAACCATTCTCACTTTATGGATGAGTGAAGTGGTGGGATGTATCGACCACTTTACTTACTTGAGGAGCTGTATCAGCGCGGACGGGCTGGTTGCTGACAAAGGTCGGATACGGAAATCGTGTTCGGCATTTGCTAACTGGCATCACCTGTCGCGCCGACTGGTGAGATATCCGTCTATCTGTCAAAGGACGAGAATACTACACTGCATTTTTTCGCTTGTTATACGACTGTGAGACATGGCTGTTGAAAATGGGAGAGATGAAGCGGTTGCAGGGTTTTGATCATAGGTGTCTTTGTAACACTGCTCGCGTGTTGGAATCACCATGTGAGCAATTTTGAAGTTTGGCGAATGGTGCAAGGCAACCAAGTAGATTGGTGAAGTTGTGAACCTTCAAGACTAAGGCGTGACAACAGCGCTTGAAGTCCCTGACTCCTGGTCTGAGCCGCATGGGGAAATGCAGATTGCTTGCTGGAGTCCCCAAGACGAAGGAAATCAGTGGTTGAGGGCTCTCGGTGCCACGGCTAAAAATCGGTCACGATGGAGCAGATGTATTCACTATTTGACCTCTTCTAGAACTTGAGTGTTTTGCGTAACCTTTAGTTTGAAATTCCTTCCATACACCTTTGTTTACTTTGGCATTATCGTGGGAATCAACATAGGACCAGGCATTACTGCTTAACGGTACAAGTTCCCACACCTCATATCAGCACATCAAGTGGCGAGACAATAAAATGGAAGGGAGAGAAATCGGTCAAGAAAAGTAGAAAGTAGTAAAAGGGAGTTAGGAGAAATAAAAAGATGATGAAATTGAGTATAGCGGCTAAGATGAGGATATTGTGTATATACATCTGCGCCACTAACATCGATTCTGAGCCATATCACAGTCTCCAACCACTGGTTTCTTTTGTCCCGTGGACCCCAGCTGATCTATACTACGAAGACGACGATGGTCAAACATTTGAAGCTTTCTCATGTCTTCTAACTTTGGTGGTCATGTTTCACAGCTATACAGTGGAACGGAGTAGACTGCAGCATAGTACACTAGACCCTTAATAGACGATGGGATATTACGACGGCGTCATAGACAGCATAAGTTGTCAAAAGTTAATCGGGCCTTTTGTATCCGTGCCGAGATTTTGTCGACCGCTGGGCCACTAGAGCTGATCCTACCTCCCAAGTAAGTGAGGTGTTCAACGCACTCAACCACTTTATCCACTTTTGTTGCACGGAGCACCGCTGAAGACCTGTTCTAGTGCGACAAATTGCATTTGGTTGGCGAGAAAGGCATCCCAAACATTCTTAAATTGCTACCTAAGGTGTTCAGAAGACTACATCTTGTCACTGTTTTCACCTAACTGAACTATGTTATCTGCATACTTTAGGCAAATCAAAAATTCGCCTATGACTAGGTCATTCTCTGTGTGGGGTCAGATAACTAGGAGACCTCCATAGAAACGTGTATAATAGGACTGAATAAGAATGGAAAGAGTGGGCTTCCTTGATGGACACCACTCAAGCTACCCAACACCCGAAATCTAACCGTAGGCTGTAAACCCCTGCAGTTGTTCGGGTAGAGAGCCTTCAATAATGCGATGTATTTACTCGGTACCCCTTTCAGTAAGAGAAATTGCCATGAGACTTCTCGATCAACGGAGTCGAATGCCGCTTTTGGGTTAAGAAATATAGCTATTGTCGGGCGTTGGTAAGCCTGCCTGTGTTCCAAAACCTGGTGGAGTGTGAATATTTGGTCGATACACCCTCGACCAGGTCTGAAACCTCCCTGGTTTTTTCGGGCTTGCTGTTCCCGAGCTCCACTCACGCATCTAGTGATTATAGGACCTGGAATCCCAGATGCTATGTTTGCCAGACTGATTCCTTTGTGGTTATCACAGGAGGACCTCGCCTTTCTTGAAGACTGGGACAATCAGTGATTGAGACCAGTCAGAGGGGATCACATTTGACTCCCAAACACCATTTGGCACTTCAGTTAACTTGACTAAAAACCCTCTATCACCATCATTATATACTTCAGGTACTAGTCTGCCTGGTCCTGCTGTCCTTCCTCGTTTTAACTTACCACTTTCTCGACTTCTGCAGATGTTGGGAGGCCTATCTCAATGTTCTTTTCAGGCTGACTGGATGGTGGGCAACGCAATAGTAGCTGGAGACCAGTTGAAGTGTTCTGCCCATCATTCCTGATGTCTCCCCTGTGAGTCGCAGACTCATCCTTCTCCTCTAAAATTTCATTAACCGTTGACCTTTTCGCCCCAGTTTCCTTACTGAGTCTAACCAATTGTCTGCTGTTGCCTGTCGCCGCTGCCTTTTCCATCTCTTTAGTCTTCGCTGCCTACCACTCTTTGTGGTCATTGCGTAGACTTTTTGTCAGTCTACATTTGAGTTGCATTCACTCTTCATAGTAATTGTATCCTGAAGGGATGCGTTCGTCTGCATTCCTTAATTCAGGAGGAGCTGCTGATATCCTTGGGCTCTTTTTAACCACTCTGGGAGTCGGCTGCGGTCTTCAACGCTGTTATTACTGCAGACTGGAGATGATACCAGTCTTCTTCTGGATGAGTGATAGTGTTCTGTACTGATAAGTAACTGCCTAGCCAATTTCCCACTGGAAGCGACCTTGGTGTTCTCACTGTCGAGCTCCACTCGTAACGGTCTCGGTGCTAAATATTTTCCACGTCCATTAAGACGCAGCCATATAGGGCTAGAACCAACACGTGATCTAGTAGTGAGCTTTTTCTCCTGGTGCTTAATGCTATGCCTACACCTGAAAGACCGCGAGAACTAGTCATCGAATCTCTGTGTTCATTATTTTATCCTGTTGCCAGCATTGTTTTAGTCATTGTTACTAACTTTTACGCAACTCACTAGCAACATTTTTACTTTCCTGATACCATGCTGCCAACTAAACGTCAGAGCTTTCGACGTCCTAACGCTTAAGTGAGACAACTGACTTCATTATCCAAAAATATTTAAAAATTGGGTATGGAACACATTTTGCTCTTCTGAGATATATGCACAACCCACGCATAGTTATTTGTTTAACCCCATCTGTTCAGCCTGGAAATTCCGTCCAAAGTTTTATCGTTGACACCCATACGTTTGCTAGGGTAAACGCAATGAAATCAGGGCAGAAAACATACTTCTTGAATGGATCCATATTCATATCCACTTATACGGTGTTTGGTTGTCCTGTGACGATTGTAAGGTATCCAAATACATATCAATGGATACGTCTACTGCACCTCAGCCCACCCTCATTGTACGGCTATGAAACATCGTTAAAAGTTAAAGACATGAAAAAGCTACTGGTTTTTGACCATAAATATCTTCGTAGCATTACTAAAATGTGGTAAATTCACGGAGTGTCTCCAAAACACTGGTCCATCGAACTGACAGCTTTAACCGTGCCGTAAAATTCTTCGACAATCAGTTGTTGCTGACTAACTGCGAACCCAAGGAAAAGCTTTGTTTCACGTGCTATCTACCGAATCCAAGCCAACGATAGTCACACCGCCGTCGTTGAAGATCAAGGAAGGATTGCCTCCCTTCTGGAATACCTGTTTAGATTGACCATACGTTAGTCATAGTACATATAGGCCTTTGCCTTAGCGCATGTTAAAAGAAAGGCCTCTGCTGCGTTTAGATGAAAACATGAAGTCTATTTCTAAAGAGGCTAACGTGATTTTTTAACGTGATAGCCATTCTCATCCGGATGAGGCGTGTTGCAACATTCAGTGTTTCGTGGAAATAACTACAGACGATATTATTCTGCTAAAAGGTCAGTGAAGGCAGTTGTTCTTTGTCGCGATAAGTAACAGTAGACAGCCATTTCCCCATCAAGAAAACTAGGGCGGGGTTTCTGGTTAGTAGGACCCTAGCTGTGATGGATGAGTCTGCGATTCACTCGCAAGGCAGATGAGGAAAATAGGTGAAACACTTCAAGATATAGTTCAACTAGCCTTCAGTTGCTGTTCCACTGCCTGCTATCCAATTGGATGCTAAATAGAACATTCATATATGATCTGCAACACTTGCTAATGCCGAGAAAGCGTATGGATTATGATGGAAAAAGCCTCAGTGTAGCCTGACCGAGACGTGACACCAGTGAATATAATTTCTGACTTGGTACGAGCCGTGTAGGGGGGTGTAGTCTATATATCTGGGGTCTCCAAGACGACAGAAATCAGCGGTTGAGGTCTCTTGGTGACATGGCTGAAAATCGATCACAATGGCGCAGATGTATTCACTCTTTGACATCTAAAGCTTGAATGTTTCGACTAACCTTTAATTTTAAATTCATTCTCCTCTCATACACCTTTGTTTACTATGGTATTAGTCTTTGTCGATACACTTGTTTTTTATATGCTACTGTGAAGTGTCAATCTGGACTAATGCACTAGTACGTGGAATTCTACGTTGATTTTGTCTATGGTTGGACATTAGGTACATAGACGGTGAAGAACGTATCCTGCCACACGTTAAGGAAATCTTTTGTATTTAAGCCTACGAGTTGATTAAGGTTTATGCAACTTCCGAAGTGCACGGACAGAGTATTCCACTACTTTACTACTTTCCCCTAAGCTGCGTCGATGCAGACCAGTCTTGAAACATGACCTTGCAGTTAACAGGCGAGCGTCAAACACTCAAACTTTAACCATTTTTTCAGCTCCTCTGCTGAATGGGACTACGTAATCTTCATGCTCCATGTCAACGACATACCATTCATATAATAATTCAACTCATGAAAACTTAGAGGTATATTCAGTCACATCTACCAGCATATTTATGACAAAGTTGAACGGTCATTTGACCATCTGAGATAGCCGTAGTTTGGCAGACTAGTATTTATACTGGGTGGTGATTAAAGGTGAAATGAAAATTTGGACCACAGTCGAATTCGAGCTAGCAACAACTGGGTTTCCGGTCCGATGCTCTACCAATTCGACCACGAGGTCTGACTGCTGACCAGATTTTTATTTTATTTCAATCACCAGGGGTTCGAATCCGGCGACGGTCCAAATTTTCATCTCACCTTTAATCATCACCCCGTATAAATACTAGTCTGCCAAACGCTAGATGTTTAGTTTGTTAACACTGTTGGTCAAATCATTCCGGTTTAAATTGCACTACGCAGTTTAGAACTAAATTCCTAGCATGTTCTCTTACTGCATCCACATCTCGTTTATTTGTGAAGCTCTTGCTGTATGGTTTGAGTACTGGGCTCTCAGTCATCTTATCACTGGTACAAAGTTACTTCAGTTAAATCAACTAGATAGTGTGTTTAGTCTGTGCATATAAGGGGCAACTCGATTTCAGGACACTAACATGTTCTTGTTAAGTGTTGTTGTACGCATTTCTACAAGTATCTTGAAATTCAAGCTTTACTTTGGAATCCATATTTTTGAATGGTTTCTCATGCTTTTGGGAGAGTTAATTGTTAAATAAGCGCTACTATCACTACCACTACATTTAACGGTTTTGTTTTCGCGACGTTTTCATAGCTCCAATTTTTAGTAGTTAAATAGCTTCTTCTAGAATCGAGTGGTCACTTGAAAAGTCTCATGAAGCGTAAGTGGCTACTGATTTAATCTTAGCTCGGCTACAAAACGTTCGTTTGTTAACTGCTGACTTACGTCATTTCTAGTACTGATACGATATCTGATTGCGTATCAAAGCCCGGATATACTGCGTACCAGTCCGATCAGCCCTATTGTACTACTTTAAAAAGTAAATGTTGAAAGTAAGTGGTATCACGTTACACGTTTTTCACTATGTTACTTTTTCACATTGTTGGCATGAGGTGAAATCACCGTGTGAGTGGTGGGAGTTTTAGGAGTTCGTTTGAGCATTTTTACTACCTTTTACCTGCTTACCCACTCCCTTCATACACATTTTTCTACTTCAGTTTCTTCCCGTTTCTTCTTCTTTTTATGCAATTTCAGAGTGTGGCAATTTAAACCGATGCATTTGTGTTCCATGTTCTACATCGATTCGTTCATCTGTTTTCTTGAATACCTATTTGTGAATGTGTATTTGCTTCTCTGTTGCAAATCCATTTGGCACTGAAAAGTGTGTTATTTGATTAATAAGCGACGCGTATTCAGCTCTCCTTTTCAGAGATGAGTAATTGGAAGATTTAAGTTTATCTAATAGTATGCGCGCGAGTATTTTGCATGTTGCCTTAAACATCGAGCTATGCGTCGGTGTTCTAAATACTTAAGCTCAGACCCATTCTACTTTCTTCGACTTAAACAAACACATAGTATTACAACCCTTTACATTAAGTACGGCTCTTAGTTTTACGAACTCAGACGTGGTCTTATATGTAGGTACTGGGCATGAGGTCTGCCAGTTGTAGTAATTATTAAGCTTGCAGTCAATATAGCCGTTCTGCATTGACAAATTAAATTGAATTCTGCCTAAGTTTTTCTGATCCTAGAATTCTATTTTACTTTTTCTAGATCTTGCGAAACAAACAGATGAAACAAGAGGATTGTGGAGATACCCATAGTCGTAAACAGAGGGCTTCTGGTAGTAAATCTAGCCGAAGTCGAAAATCCAAGGAAAGTGCTTCTAAAAGAAAGTCCCATTCAAAAAGCAATGAATTACCGCAACCGACTGTTACCCCTGTTCCAAAGCGAAGGAAAAAGGAGCATTCTAAAACTGTACCTGATTACACACCCACTCGTAGTAGTGGTCGTTTGACTCGTTCTTCGACTTTAACAAATACAGTTACAAAGTCTACACCGAAACCTAAACCGTCCAGTGCGACAAAAAAAGAGTCTTGTTCTTATTCAGATTTGTTCATTGCGGACGACGAGCAAGATTTGGATGAAAATGTTGATGCTGGTGATGAAGACAGTGAGTATGCTCCCTCTGACAAAGAGACACTTAGTCGAATTTCAAGAATGTCTAAATCTCGTAAGGGAGTTTCTTCACGTACTCGTCGACATTCAAAAGTACAGATTGCATCTACTAGTGAAGCTGAAAATGGAGGGTCTACTGAAGAGGATGAAGCCGGAGAATCAGAGTCGGAAACAGAAGAGGAAGATGATGATGAAGAATTAGGAGACTCGGTGTTACTGAATCATTCTGTTGTTAACGGTGATATGTCAGTACAATTATTTGAAGATGAAAGCAATCAGATACAAAAAGATATTTATGATTTTGACGCTCAAAGTATCATTTCAGACAAACGTGTTACCTCATTGAGGAAAAGAATATCAACTAATGCAGTCAGTCGTAGTATGAATGTAACTACGACCAGTCGATCAACACGTAGATCTGCTTCTGGAAAAGGTACTAGTTGGGGATCGAATATCTATAGTGCGCTTGCTGCTGCTCTTAAAACACGTGCGGACCTGGATGCTTATTCAAGTTTCCTGAAATCAAATGTCTTAAATGCTGGCTTTGATAAATTTTTAGCTGAAGTTTGTAAACCTAGTAATCAGCATGCTAACTTATTTTATGGTGCATCGGCTAGCTTGCAGAGTCTTATGAGTCGCATTAATGATCATGATAAAGTCGTTGAACTGTTGCACGCATTTGTTTCACATTCATATGATCAGTTACAACATCGTATTGTTTATCTAGTGCCAATAGTCCACCAACCATTGTTTGGTGTTTCTCATATGACGCCAATAAGTCAACATCTTGAAGCACTTGTTAAAAATATTGATGAAGAAATGGTTATAAAACCAGCATATATTCTTAATCAAGAAACAAATTTGCTAGCGATCCGTAGTTCAGTTGCTAGTGATTTTGGTGTTTCAAATACTCAGTATAATTTTATCACAGGTGCTGGTAATTTAGGAAGATATATGCCAGATATTAGTCAACTAATTGTTCCATCTGATTTATATCAAAAGTTAACTGAACTTATTGCACTCCCACCTGAAAGGATTTATGAACTTGCTCTTGCTAGAGTTCATCAACAAGAAGATGAAGCGGATATTGATATCAGTCCACTTGAACCACCAAATTTGCAAAGAATTGTTTTAGCCATCAATAAAGAAGGGAATTTAGTTGGTATAGCAGTATTGGATACATGGAATCGTAATGATGTTCCACATAGCAGACCAAAGGTCCCTATTGATTTATTTAATATCAGTGCACTCTCTGATAGTACATGTTTAGTAAATCAAAATGGTACGGTGGAAGTAAATTGTAAAGCTAGAGAGGAACAAGTTCGTGAAGTGTTGGATAACATTATCGATTGGGTGGTTTTAAAATCTGATCCTAAGGATTATAGTTCATTGTCAAAACGTGTAACTAGACAGGAGAGTTCTGTTCTTGGTCCAGTACGATTTGTAGATGCGTTTGTTGTTAAACCAAATGGTCGTCGAGACACCTTATTGTTGGTTGCTCATCCTGTTAATTGTCATCCATCTGAAAACGCTGTTGAGAATGATAATTTCTTTGTGTACTCAGTTGTTGATGAATCAAAGTTCTGTCTAGAAAAGCATGGATTCATGCCGGAATTGTCTATAGCACTTGACGGTGTACATACTGTTGACCCTGAAGATATACTTGAGGATAAATCTTTATTAGTAGTTCCTGATCTTTTGTTTGACACTCTAAGAAAAGTTATGCTACGTGAGTTGGCCAGCTCTAGTAGCACTGCAGCGGCTGCTGCAGCCGTTGTGGCGTCCTCACGATCAGATGCTGCAACTCTCCCGTTAACATCAACAGGTCCGGCAGCTGTTATCCATTGCACAAAATTCGTCATATTAGATCGTCAGAGACGTGTCCCACTCGCAATCGCATTTGATTCTCCTGTTCGCCTTACCCTCCAAGTAGCAGATGATAAGTTAGGTGTACATCCTCACGGAGAAGCTGCTTCTGTCAATTTCGATCAGATCACCCCTTCAGAGTTGAAATCCTACGAATCATCATTCAAGCCAACTTCTGCTGAATATCGCTTAGTCGCTATAAATGGGTTATTATATGGTTTGCAAATCGATGATCAACGCGTCATTCGCCGTATCATTGAAATTGTTCCAGCTCGTTTTGATTCTATCTACCCACATACAGGAAACCCATCACTTTGTGCACAGTCAATATCTGCATCCTGTAAGTCCTGTCCATCCAACGTCAGAATAGTCAATGATGAAACTAACAGTTCAACTGTTTTGCCAGCATTTTATTATCCCCACTATGAGCAAAATAAATTGTGTGCTGTTGTTTCTGGCTTTACGGACCAGTTATGTAGTTTGTTTTTTGACCTACCTATCTCTATAAGTTTATACGATGTCGTTTTACGTATGGCGCAAAAGTATATGCCAGAAATTCTAGCCAGGCAGCATATTGAGGCGGCAGAAGCTGCAGCTTACGCTGAAGCTGCTGCAAATCCTCATGCTCCTCCACCATCACCAGTTCCTCTTCCAGAACACTGGGGTGTTTGCTGCTTATGTGCCAAAGAACTTCGTTCACCAAACGGTTTGCTAGATCACGAGATGAGGCATTTAGGTCTCTCCAGGTTCCGTTGCGGAGTACATAATGTTTCATTTTTAGAACGTCGATCTTGGCAAGCTCATATGAACGAACATCATGCCTGTCCACGTTCAGGTCCTTTGTCTGTACTTCTTCGCCCAAATCCAGTTAATCAAAATGATTCTGGTAGTGAACAAGATGAAGAAGACGATGAAGCAGTTGAACAGGATACTATTCCGGGTAGTGGTTTGCTTGTTGGACTTGCAAACGTTTTTAATACAGGTCTTCTCGCTGGTCGTATGGAGGCTCCTCAGTGTGAAAAGTGTGGTGATTATTTCCCTGCGGCAGAAGTGCTTGCACAACATCTAGACTTCTGCGATAGTGTGAGTTTTTCTCTTCGTACTCCTCTGTCTCGAACTGTCGGTGGTGTTGCAAAGCCACTTTTAGCAGAAGACTCTTATCTTCGATCTGGAGATGATGTGTCTATGGAGGCTTCTGTATTAAATGCTGATGACACAACGTCAGATGCCAAAGATGATGCATGTGTCTGTGGCATTTGTGGAACTCAAGTTTCTTCACGTGACAAAATTCTTCGACATTTCACAGTATATCATCTTCAATGTATTTTGTGCAACAAAGTCCTCCGGTCAATGGAAGAACTTTCTGGTCATTACTATACGCACATAAAAACTGATGCACCGAACGCCTTAGAAGAATCTGATGGTGAGGTGTTTACTGCATTGAAAAATGATCCAGATGAAGAATTAATTTCGAAAGCTGGCGCAAATAAAAAGCCATCAAATAAACTAATGACTTGTGATATTTGTACAGAGTTTTACGGGACAAAGTTTAACTATTATTTCCATCAGTGGGCAGAACACGGAGTAGTGCACCCAGGAGATGGTACTTCACAAGGTATGCTTCAAATGCTTACTCAAACGCGACAGTTTCGACAGCGAGTAGATAAAGATGATCTTGCCTCTATGGGTGTCCGTAAGATGAAGTGTAAGTTATGTGGACTTGTTGTTCGGTGTAGTGGGAAAGATTATGTACAGCATCTTAGTGAGAAACACAACATTAGTACCACTCTCGAAGATATTTGTCGTATATGTGCTGATGTTTTTGAATCTCCAGAGGACCTTTCTGTTCATCTTGGTGAAGTACATTTTCCAACTGGTGAATTTGGAAATGCTGGTGTGCAAACTATATTTCGCTGTACTCACTGTGATTTTTGGGGTTTCAACAAAGGTGTTTTAAGGCATGCTCGTGAGGTTCATGATGATCCATCTCCATCTATTTATGAATGTATGCATTGTTATGAGCGGTTCTCTGATAAACGAGTCTGGCGTGCACATATGGATAAACATAATGAAGGTTATTCCCACAGGTGTATGGAATGTGGGCGTGCATTTCGATTAAGACCTTCTCTTCTTCATCATATGCGTTGCCATCATGGAGATGATCAAGGACCAGCAACTTGTGAATATTGTGGACTGATTTATCCTAAACGATCATCCTTAAGATACCACATCTTCCGCATGCATAATCAAGTAAGACTATCTTAAACCTGTTAAAAATTTACTTACTCTTTTGTAATCGAGTTTTTTATCACTCCCCCGAACTCTGAAATAATTAAGTAGACTTAAACTTTTATAAATGACTTATATTTACACGTATCATGGATTTTATAAATCAGCGAGAATAGTTTTCGTTTGATTGTGACCAAAGTACCTTTGGTGCACTTTTGACAAGATGTTTACAGTTGCTCGCATTGGGAAGATACTGTACTATCTTAGCTTAATTTGCTGTCTGATATGATTATGCCGATGGTTGGTGCAAACTTGTTACAGTCGAAGAGTTGTTTACCGGCCACTACTGATTCTGAGACATCAGTTTTCCTGCAATTCGAATATACTTGTGTGGTATGCACGATTTTCTACATTGTTTCGTTTGTCCTAAAGCATAGGCGTGAAACCACTGCTTATTTCTATGATAGCGATTGGTGTTTGGTCCAACTTATTTCATTGACAACTCTTATATCAAAGAACAATAAATTATTCATTAGGATAAGGTTTGATGTCATACTAAGTCAACTACAAAGATAACAAGCAATTATTGCTCGATCATCGATAGCAGATTGTAGTTTTGGGTTTTCAAGCTAATTTTGGCAAAAAACATGTCCAGTTTATATGTAGACAAAGGCCATGCCGATTTCCGAAGTACAAGAACACCAGTCAGCAAAGATACATCAACCCATACTATCCAGAAGTACTCCTGAACTGCACTGTCCCTCAATTATTTCTACTTCACGAAAAACTAGACCAAAAACTAGTCATCCGAAGGCATTTTATTCCTTGCGCTTATTCTGCTTTGTGAAAAGTTGTCACCGCAAAGAGGAAAATTCAAGCGATTGACAACACCTTATTACCTACCGATAGCGTCTAGATTAAAACCTAAATGAGAGATAGATTACGTTATTACCTTCAAACGAAGTGTCTACTCTTTTATTGTTTGACACTTACAATTTCCTATCGTTGGCAGATGAGCTCCCATATGGATGCGTCGATACTGCTGAATATTCGTTATGTTGCATTCATCTCGGTAACTTGCAATGGAATTCGTGGCGCGCATCTCGTCCCACCTAGGATTCGTCAGCCGGATGTGCATGCACCCCAGTGAGTAATGTTTCCACCGAGACTCGAACCCGGTGCCCATCGCTTCTCTGGGGCGCAGGTACGTCCAACTGAAGAGTCCCAAATAGGACGAAACGTGCGTCATAGATTTTACTACAACTCACCAAGATGAATATAACATAGTGAATATTCTGTAGTGTCCAGATATCCACATGGGAACCCATTCGCCAACAGAGGTCGAGCAATTTGACCCTGTATAGCAACCGAAAATTGCAAGTACCAAACCACAACTGATACCCGTTGTACAAAAGGCGGCTCATGTGCCCCAATGGATAACATTGACGTTTGAAGCGATGGGTACTGGGTTTCAGTCTCAGTGGAAACAACATCTAACTGACTAATTCCTCTCGTATGTGCACCTGTCTAAATGACTAAATTACACACGTGCTAATTTGATTACTTGAAAGCATCAAAAGTTGGCGAAAATCAGCATAGGTCTCTTTCTGGGACAAAGCTTATCTAATTCTTGATATACTTCTTCGCTCAATCAGTCTTTTTCTAAAAGACTATGGTTGGGTGGTTTTCAATTTTACTAGCATCTTTCTAAGGGTTTTCACCTTTGTTAGGTCTACTGAGATTCCTCTCCAAATTCTCACTCGTCTCCAGGCCGGTCTTCAGATATATGGTCGTTTTAACACAAATCTGGTGTGTCAGTCTCCCCGCCGAGCAGGAAACATACAAGCAACGCATTTACATGAAAACGAACGTTTCTATCATAGCATTCTGATAACGACCATTTCAATCAATCACTGTTATCCCAGAACCCTCCCAACTCTTAGGCTTCAACCCATCCACATTCGATGGGTAATCGGTTCGCTGACAGTACTTTCTTACCCGTGGGCGGATGTGAGTAAGACAGATCTCACTAAGGTCTCCACAACTTCGCAGATCTAAGTGCAGCTTGCCTTCCCGAGAAGACATTCCTCTAGCAGTCTTTACCCATGAACCTATAATATCGACAAAAACCACATCGGTGGCTACCTTTGGGACACTGAAATACAAAGAAATCTTGGGCCAACAACACAAACGTTACTGACCCAATATTGCTTTCGCCTTTGCAATCAAAAACTTCACATTGCTTCAATAGAAGTGACTAAAAGAGTTATGACTCGCCTTACTTTTCTGTTTCGTTGCTCTCAGTGCGGGATCCTGACGGCTAACAAAACCGTCCGGGCTTCGAATACCCACGCCACTGATCTTGCACATATGGGTCTCATCGACCGCGGTTTCTGCCAAGTCGATTTGGTGGTGTATTAGCTTCTGATATCCAGCGGGACCTTGAGAAGGTAGACTGTACGCAACTGGGCTCAACCCGTAATTCCGGGTGCATGAAACATCCCCAGTTTTCACGAGCCGGTAACATAAACCCGGCACCACTTAACCGTGCCATATAGAGCTTCTTCACGTTGACCCCCTGCCACGTAACTGATCTATACTGCGTAGAGAAGCATAGTTACACCCAAAAACTTTGTTAGGTCAATAACTGCATTTAAGAATACTTAGTTACGCCCTAAAATAGGTCGACATCAAAGTTCTGGTGGCAGTGCTTGTGTTTGGAGCAAGAAGTTCTGGTTCTCAGCATCAACGGAAACAAAAACTAACTAGCATGGCTATATTAATAGGGGATTTGATGAGTGTCTTAGATCCCTTCATCATCAACAAGGTAGGAACACATAGTTCAGGTCAATAATGAAGCAGTCTCGACGAAAAGCAGATCCTTTTATTTCAAGGACAGAGAATTATTCATCTTAATGATCATAATAGATTACGTATTAACGTTTTGGGTAATAAATCCAATTTTTGTACATGGTTTCAAACTTACCGCCAAATACTTCATGCCTTCTCATTACATGTATTTTTATTCTTCAGGAATTAGCTCATGAATGCTTCATGTGTCAACGACGTTTTCGACTGGAGACAGAACTTCGACGTCATGTAAAAGAAATGCATAGTGGAGCTGTCAAGTGTGAAATATGCCATAAAGTTTGCGCTAACTTGCGGTGTTATGCTCAGCATAGGCAAAAACACTTTCGTACCCGTATTTACCAGTGTACTGATTGTCAAACAACGTTTAAAAGTAAATTGGCTATGAAGCGTCATATTCGAGTTGAGCATCTGCAACTGGGTCCTGAAAAGTTTGAGTGTCAAATATGTGGGAAGGTGAGCTAAGTTTTATATTTATTTGTTAACAACTGTAATGTCAGGTGTTTGTTCCGTAAATATCTCAATTAAGCATACTTAGGGTTGTTTACGATATGATGAAATGCTTCCTAAAAGCTCAAACTGGATTAGTTGTGCGGTAAAGAAAGAGGTAATTACAAAATCGACTAAAAACGTTTTCACTACCTTATGTGTAAAACGAGAAAAAACCATAACAGAATGGCCTGTAATTTTCAAGCCATTCAATAAATTTTCGGTTCACTGGGTCATCTCACTCTACACCCCCCAGCAACCAATTTCTTACGCTTAAGTCGGGGCGTCTAGCAAATGTCTTTTTATGACTGAGCTGTAAATTTTGGTTATGACAGATATTATAGTTGGTTAAAAGAGTTAAGCGACATGCATGTTGCTAGAGAATGGCACCAGTGCACAAAATCTTTGACTGTTGGTTTAAGCAGCGTAGGGAAATGTAGACTTCCTGGTAGGAGTCCGCGTGACAACGGAAACCAGTGGTTGGTTACTAGATGATATGACTCAGAATCGATTTCCGTGGCGTAGATGTATCGACATACGATCCTCATCTTAATCGTCTTGTTGAATTCAGCATTAACTTGTTCCTTCTTGTTATCGTGTCACAACTTCCTACCACTTTTGATTACTTTATCTTTCATCTTAGTGCTTTTTCATTTGATGTGCTGATATGAAGCGTGGCAACTTTGACCGCTATGCAGTAATGTCTGGTTCTATGTTGATCTTGTCTGTCTGATACGATGTATGCTGATGATTGCTGCTGGTACATATGACGCTTTCTGTCAAGTTTACAGTAATCCTTACTTTCTGTGAATTTATTTTAAAATTTCTTTATCATTCATAGAATGATCACATATCCCTCGATTCTGGAAGCAGTAGTAGTAACGAGGTTGTTGTCTTCGATTACTGAAGTAGAATTCCTCTGGAATCGGTCAGCTGCAAACGTGATCTGTTTCAATGACTGTTGATTCTTTTGAATATGTTCTATGTTTTTAGTTTAGTTGCATCGTTCACATGATAATATACCATACTCATATTCAAACCATCACCAGTGTTATCCACATAAGACTGAGAAATCGAGGTTTCCCCTGGCTTTTTGGTAGTTCTGATCGCTCAGTGGAGAATCATACAAACTATTTGTTGATTCTTGTTGTATATTGCGTAGACCTTGGACGAGAAAAACTAATTTATGAACTAAAGTTGCCTGTAGGAGATGTGTTCACTGTCGAAATAATACAACTTATCGTCCATGTGCGAGTCTATGCCAAAACCTATAAGCCATACTCGTTACACTAAGACTGTTGATATCAACCTGTCTATCTAAGCCTTGAGTGGTGAGAGTGAGTTCTAACTTGTAATCCAATCCGCTATTTGGAACTAGTAAGTCGTAGTTCCACTGTTTTATCTAACTACTTAATGGATAACGCTCTGGCGCTTAGAGCGTTTGGTCCCGGGCTCGAGTCCCGGTTAGGAACAACCCTCGCTGGAAGGCAGGTACGTCCAGCTGACGAGTCCCAAATGAGACGGAGCGCGCATCCTGGATTCTACTATTAGCCACTATCCATCAGCAATATATGGCGGTATATTTGTCTGGATTCGATTCAGTTTGTTGCAATTCCAATTTTATATAAAATTACTATAAGTCAATGAAAATGAAGGTTTACATTTATCTACTTGTTGGTATCTTTTATAGATTGTAACACAAATTGGTATGCATATGCTGATACATAAAGAAGCACGTTTTGAATGTGAATATTGCAATAAAAGATTTACTAAGGCTGCTTATTACAATGAACACCTTCGAATACACCGCGGCGAACAACCGTTTGAATGTCATATATGCAGGAAACGATTTAATAAAAAATCGAATCTCAATGTTCATGTGAAATTCCATGAGAAGCATCGGGATGAAGAAGGAAATGTAAGTCTTAGCATTCCTTCTTTACTTTTCAATATAGTAGCAAATGTATCCAATTATTAAGGCTTCAGATTTTGTTTTTTTTGTCGGTAAATACTTTTCTTATTTCTATCTGGAAGTTAATTAATTCGTTTTAGGTTGGAATTCATCATGGACTGACATCAATTGGAGGAACATTGGAAACCTAGGAGCACTGGACAACTGTTTTGTCTTGGTGTGGGACTCCTCAGCACTGCGCACCATAACCGTCAGGGATCGAACCCAGGACCTTCAGGTTCCGTAACCATCACGTTGCCGTTGAACCACTAGGTCGGTGGTTACGGAACCTGAAGGTCCTGGGTTCGATCCCTGACGGTCATGGTGCGCAGTGCTGAGGAGTCCCACATCAGGACAAAACAGCTGTCCAGTGCTCCCAGGTTTTCAATGTTGCTCCAATTGATGTCAGTCCATGATGATTTTCAAGAAAACTTGTATAAAATTTAGGTTGGACATCTTTTGAACCATGAGGTAAAGTTTTCATTCACGCCTATAAATGGAAAAACTTATAAATAATCCTCTCAACTTATCTTGGGTAGTGATGAAATATATGCGTCGCACAACTGTTCTCATTATGCCTTTTGAAATCCTAATGCAGAATAGTGAGTGAATCATGTGTAAAGTTATGAGCCCTATAAAGAAAAGAAACGAGAGAGTAAAGCAGATTTTTCACCCAGGTGGTGGATCAACTCAGCATTATTACGTGATAATGTCATAATTCTAATAGATATGCAGTCTGTTCAATTTGCCCACTATATTCTGTTTACTGAAAACCAGTAACTTCTTACCAAAGATATGTTTCATCTCCCTTAAAATATCGAATATGAAAACCAGCTATACTTCTGGTTTCACTTTTGACTGAAATATTAACAGCATTCAGGTTACTGATTGTGTCCTTCTGGAGTATTTTCGATTAAGAGTCTTGGATTTCATAGTTAAGTAAGCAGAACTATTTTTCTACTCAGATCGCTAACCTATGCGTACACCCTGTTAGCGCAAAGAGAATGATGTACTTAGAATTGAGACGCAACAAGTGAAAATATGGCAATAAAAGTTATGTATTCTGTAGGCTTGGAAAGTAAGATTCTGTAAGTTATTACAATGCTTCATAGTAGGTTGTTACGATGTTCTACTTAGAATTTTCGCTTCATTATAACTCCACACCGTGCTGGAAACTGAACCGTTCTGCATCAAAATACAAATCACGAGATCATCTCTTGTCACTACATTGTATTGAGAGTCATTTTCCACGTTACCCGTCGAAGGGTTATTCATGTTTTTCTTGAAGAATGACTTGTTTTTGCGCGTTTAAGGGTCTGGTTGTTAGTTAACTATAGAAATGCTTTGCTTATAATAGCGTATTCTCCTGCTTGTATTCAAAGCTTGATTTTATTACTACCTACTTCTTTTTTTCCTTTCTGTTCACACACCTTAGTATCTTGAATTGAAACCTCGTGGTCGTATCAGCACAATGTTTGGTGATGCTCTGATGAGTCCAAGTGATCGAGCAGCTCGACAAGCTGCTGCTAGGGCAGGAAATCCTGCGATTTATGTTCCAAAAGTTGATGTGGCAGTAGGAAGTGACTTCCCTGGTGCTTTTAATTGTACTGGTCCAGCTGGAGCAGCTGCCGAAGCGGCTTCTCGAGTAGCAGAATTATATGGTCTTGACGGAATTGACGCTAATCATGCAAATTCAGCTGATTTTATTCTGGAACCAGTGGGTTTAGATGACTTGGCTAGAGTTGAACCACTGTTGAAAAAACAACGTTTAATGTGAAACTATTTCTGCATTCGGTAAGTTAAGTATCTACTCAGTTTATTGTTTGTGCATTATTATACTCCTTTGTACTTCTATGTTGCATATCGGAACGTAATCAAATGTGATGACTGGTATTTCTCAGGACATAATGAAAAATGTTTCCAGATTTATTTTAATTGGCATCAACGGAAGTTACCAAATTTTGTGTTTTATGCCATACTCAAAAAGGTCTAAATATGTTTAAGTTCACGAAGGAAGTTGCACTGTTAGATGATATCTGACTAAGAAATTCTACAGTGGAAACATGAATTAGTGAATTGAGATGGGCAGAGAAATATGCTTTTCGTTGTATTTCTCTAATCCGGTTGCAGCATTAGTTTGATTAGATCAGAAAGCAGTTTTCAAAACATTATCCAAGAATGCTCTCCGCGTATTTATTATCGTCAAAGATATTAGTTAGTGTTGTTTCTTGTATTATCTGGTCGTTGATTGGACCGAATTGATCTATCTCTATTGGCGTATGGGCTCCTGCGCGATGCCTCAATATTGTCTGTTTTTCAGTTATATATTAGTGATGGATAGTGGATAGCAGCGGAATACGGAATGCACGTTTCGTCCCATTTGGCCTCATCAGCCGGATGCACCTGCCTTCCAGTGAGTGATATAGTTCTAACTCGGGACCGATCACTCCAAACGCCAGAGCGCGTTATCCACTAGACCACCGGGCCACGATATTCACTATCTTGTGCGACCGGCACAGTTTTACTGTTATTGCAAAAACATTGAATTTGTACGGATGATGCAGCAAACAAGAAGCTGGAAGTACTTCGAAGAGTGTTAATCGAGGATGATTACTCTTCAAGATTCATTGAGAGGAACATGCGGCACACGGATTTCAAAGAAGACACTATTTATGAATATTGGATTCAAGGGAGATACATTAATAGAGAAACCGAAGGATCGACTGTGCAAAGCACTAGAGAAGACCTTTTCCGCTCAGCTTCGGATTATTTTCTGCAGTCAACAACTGTTTCGAGGGTATGTAAGCGATAAGCTACCGCTTTGGTCCACTTCCATGTTTACCATTTCACCTGCTCTTATTGAGCTGGATACATAGGCTACACTAAGCGTGTTCTATCTAAATGCATCCTTCATGTAAAGCCATCAACAGCTCAATTCTTGAGCATTCGGTTACCTCTGGTCACTTTGCTCCACGAGAGTCTTCTTTCAAGGTCATTCATAAAATGAAGGCGAACATTCCGAAGAGCGTTCGAATTCGCCACTTCAACACAGCAGAAGCTCTGGCACTCCAGCATTATAAGCCTGCCTTTGTGTACAAAAAAGATACATTCGATTTGTAGTTTTGCCTTGGTCGTAATTTCCATATGACAATTTATTCGTTTCTTTTTGCTATAATACTATAAGCAATTTTTGACTACCTTGATTTGACTTTTTAGACGTTATCACCTTATGACTTTATTGACCGTTTTTGATGACTTTGGATTGACTCATTAGTTATTGATGGATACTCATTTTGTTGTAACTATGATCACGATATACAACTTTTGAAAATGATTCATTCGAAAGAAAAGTTTCTTCACTGAATTATCTTTTATTATTCATAGTTCAATATGGAATAGATGTAAAGAGTGATCAGTATATTCGTCACGGGCACCTCTGCATCTTTAGTAATTTTTTTTTATAAACTTGTTCGCTACAACAGTTTTAAACGTCTTAAGTAGTCTGTTTGCGTTTTTCAGACGTTCTTTATCATGTTAACTATCCTAGTTTGTTTGGGTTTTTAGGTTTGACATAATAGTTGGTGGTAAATTTGACAAACATTCAGCAGATATTTAATAGAAGAGACGTTTTTTGAAGCTACAGACAATTTCTTTGATCGATTTCGTGGTATCGGTCAAGTGCAGCCGCTACTCATCTATACTCTACAGCTAACTGAGTACTTCCAATTTCTGTATATGTTAGCAGTCCTCAGGATTATTCTGCAATCAGAGGGTGAGATACTGATGTGTTGTTGCATTTCCACCTAAAAATTTAACAGTGAAACAAAAACAATATCGGTTGTAATGGTGGGAGAATGCAAGCTCTATTCAACAGTCCCTCATTTGTATCAGTAGCATATTTCCAAACTCATACAGGGTTGTGTTCTTATACCAAGGAGGTGTTAAATTCCACAGTTTCCAGTGTAGCTGTACCTTACTAGTCTCGATACTCGACTTCTTACCTGTAAGTTAGGGGTTCGAATCTAATTTTACCTACAGAAGTCCTGACTGTCGTCATTTAATTGGTATGACTCAATGCTTAGTACAAAAACTTAGATGTGGTTCTCCAGTCCCATTTCTTATCATTATTTTCCCCTGATTTGAAAGCAATTTTTGGTGTGCGCAAAAAGCAAACTCTTTTATGCAACCTATGAACAACTGGTCGCCACTGTGAGTTCATTGACTTGTCTTTGGACAGGAAGACTAGATAGGTTTTGTTAATGTAAGTATATAATTCAGGCACTGGTGGAGTATGGTTCCATATTAAATTATTTCATGTTATAGCACACAATGATACTGTATTATTCACTGAATGACGTTCCGAGTACAACTTAGTGATCACAATCATACCGAAAGTAGCATCATGATATATGTTGAAGATTGTAACTTTTATCGGCGATCGTAATTCTAAAGTGATTAAATCCGACTTCCTACTGATAGAAAGCCTTGTGAAGGTAACTGGTCGACAAAACCTCATGGTAATCATGAATAACTCGGCAAAATTAAGAGGAAGCGGGAAAACAATGTAGTCATCACCAAGTAGTAAAATGATTAATTAAGTGTTGTATCCTAGTTAGCTTGATTTGTAAGAGGATTGGAATTATTACTACCTGGTTACTATAACCCTATAGGAACTTCACTCTCGACCAGCTAACTTCAAATTCAAGCATTTTATCACCTCTTTAGCACTGGATAGCTAAGCAGTTATCGAATCTCGTCATGATGTTTAACATAGCATATTCGCTCCTATTTTGGAGTTCTTATTTTCATAAAGTTAACGTTTGTTCTTTTTTTTTTTTGGATTTTCAGCTTTTTTCTAAATTTCGCAATCTTACCTGGACGTTCAATTGTGTATTTGCATTCATCAAATGGTATTTTCTTTTATATATATATATACCTTAACAATTTTATGGCATTTTGTACAATTACTTTTGCTACTGTTACTCTGTGTATATTACTAGGAAATTCGTGCACAATTTCTCCTCTAATATTCACACTTGACTTATATATATATATATATATATATATATATATATATATATATATATATATATATATATATATATATATATATAAACATTATTACTCTTAGGATGTGTGACATCAACCTGTTTTTTTTCTTATCTTTTCTTCAGTCTGTAACTTTGGTGACATCAACTTCTTCTGTACAGTCCCATATATAAGTGTAATCTGAAAAATGTAATCACGTATTTAATATTTTTATGCAAATTACATATCTTCTTGAAAAGAAATTTGTTCATTGATAGTTTGATGGTCTACCGCCGATCAGTGTATTATTTTTATATACCTTATTGTCTATCCAATGTTTTGTAGAAAAATAATAAATAACAGAATCATATTGACAGTGACAAATTTAAATTTTGCTTATACATTTAGTGTGTGTGTGTTTGTGTGTACCACTGTATTGCATTACTTCAATCAGAATATACATGTATTATTTTCTATCTTCTCGTGTAAATGTAGGGTTATGCATTAGAAAAAGTGTTTTATTTGCAGTCGAGTGCATATTGTGGGCGTGTTACAACCTATGGTGAGATGTCCAGCGAGCTATGCTCATCGAGTGGTGTCCGTCAACGGTGCCCACTGTCTCAATTCTTATTCAATTTTATCATAGATATTCTTATGGAGGTTTCCCTGTCGTCGCCTGATTACACAGACGTTGACCTAATCGGTGGAGAATTTCCGTTAGACGTAGAATATGCAGATGACATACTCCTGTTAGGTGAAGATGCAGAGTCTTCTGAACACTTTGAGCGGTAGTTTGAGAATGATTGGGATGCGTTTCCCACCACCCAAATGCAAATTATTCCTCCAGGATTGGCCTTCAACGGTGCCCAACCGCAGCTAACAATACAGAGCGTGTTGACCACTTCACTTACCTGGGATTAGGATCAGATCTGGTGGCTAGCTCCGGTGGCCGATGAAACCTCTGCACGAATACAAAAGGCTCGGCTGGCTTTCGCCAACTCAGGCCACCTTTGGCGTCACCGTGATATCCGATTGTCTATTAGGGGTCACGTGTACTGCACAGCAGTCCGCTCTGTTCTACTGTATGGCTGTGAGACATGGCCATTGAAGGTGGAAGACATGAGAAGGCTTCAAGTGTTTGACCATCGTTGGCTTCATAGTATAGGCCGTATTCCATGGTGTTACCAGGTGAGTAACGCAGAAGTCAGGCTCAGGCGTAGAGTTTTAGGAAGAAGAGGTAAGTCGGTTGACGAGGTTATGAACCTTCATCGACTGGGATGGTTGGCTCCGACATGTTACGTATTTTTAGTCGCCGTCTGCTTCGTCATACAATGTTGACCGCAATATTTGCAGGCTGATAAAAAAGGCTGGAGGTGGCCAGACTAAAACATGGCATGAAGTGTTTGACTGTTGGTTTGAGTCATGTGGGGTGATGCAGACTTGCCGGCAGGGGTCCGCAGCACAATAGGAACCGGTGTTTAGAGACTTTAGGTGATATGGCTAAGAATCGATGTCAGCGGTGCAAATGTATACACACATCATGCTCATCTTAATGCTATACCGAATCTCACCATCTTCGCATTTTTCCTTTCTTTCCGTACTTCATTTTTTCGACTGAATTTCGTTTCCTTCATCTTCCATTTGACTGCCTGTTTACTTGATGTAGTGATATGAGTTGTGGTAACTCAAACGGTTACGCAGTAATGACCAGTCCTATGTTGATATTGATGATGATGACTAGTGCATGTCTGAAATCGGAACGTAGTTTTTTCTTTGGCATTCTGTGTGACTTTTCCTCATGGAAAACGTCTTCATATAATTCGAACCAATCAATTTTTTAATAGGTGTTACAACATACAACCGGATAACATTCGATTTTCGAAATAGTGCAGTCATCGAAACTTAGGAAGGATAAATATGAAGGTAAACTGGGAAACTATGATACAGAAAGCTAACTAGATTTGAGAGATTGTATCTTAGTGGTCTAGAGCAGAAATATCTTAAACCTACTGACAACAGTTTATATCATGCTGTTTACCTGACCCTAACTGTAAAGCTGGAAGTGCCTCATGCTATTTAGAGCTTCCAACTAGGCAAATATTGATACGAAAAATCTCCGGACTTTAATGGTACAATCGATTCTACTGAGAATACTAGTTCTATGACCAAAAAATCCCCAAGTATGTTTTGTCACTTACAGTTAGTTGAGTGTGTAGAGTACATTACACGGGAAATATGGAAGTGCGAACTGACAAAATATTCTACCTTAGGGCTGTGATTCGAGTGTTCAGTCCTCGATATGTGAGACAGTTTAAGTCAATAAATGTGTAGTCATAGTTCGACTTCACTCGTCCAGAAGACTATATTTTGTGGAAAACATCTAAAAGCCTGTGTCGATACCTTACTAGTAGCAAGTTAATCTCTAAAAAATTGAAGGTGACCAAACTCACTTCCATCAATACTAATTAGACGAAGTTAATTGGTGTCCATTGATACTACTGATTGTAGCCATCGCAGGTGGTAACTGTTCTTTACCTTTGAAGTACTGGTATCAGTTCAAATAGATTACTTTCAGTAGAATAACATACTGTCTTGACACAACAATTAATTAGTTGACAGAGTGGTATGCTACCTTAGGTAAAGATGCTACACTAAGTATGCCTACTCCAAAATCACTCAAAGGCTGATTACCTCATCAATGATAATCACTGACGCCTGGCTTCCTCTGGTGCTTTGCTCTTGAGCTAGGCGTCCTGTGGCTACAAACCATCCTGTCTATATACGATGCTAACGAAACTGATTCTCGAATAAATGTTAAAACCTTACAGTTTGAAAAGATCCAGATCAATCCGGCAAGACTACCTGGGACTTAAATTACCACTTATTATAAACAGTAACTTCATCTCAGTTCTGAAAGCAAACTTACCTCGTTTCGGTTCTGAAGCAACTTCGACGAGACCAAAAGGACTAGCACCCACATGACATGTAAACTGGAGTTGAGTGGTGGGAAATTAAGGATTAGCTGAACCGCCACTTGGTGTTCAGTCGAATATCCTATTCGCTTGCTCTAAAAGGTTGCTATTGAACTGCCTTCCTTGGTGATGCTCGCTCCTTCTAGATTATCCTCATATTTTCAGTAATTACAGTGCTACCTCCATCTTTTTTTTCCTCACCACCTATCACTCTTCATGGTGGTTACGCAAGCTTATTCAATTTATAATCCAGTAGTTCTTTTGTAAGATGCAGACCAATAGAAATGTATCCCTTTTCCAGTGCGGCAGAGACTAATTGACTTTAACTGATATTTATGTGTAGACTACTATCAATCACTTTCTACAGCAAACTCGCCGTGCTTCAGGATGGCGACCGCTGCCATGTTCGAACAAATGACTTCTGTCACATTTCCAGCGTCAATTTTATTGCTGTGTGAATTATTCCCCAGAGGTTCTTATCCATAACATCTGACTCAATTGGAATAACGTCCTGTGTGGCTCATGAAAAATGCACGATGTCAAAAACGAGTAAAGTGACCTGGTCAGGTATATAAGAGTGGCCAAGGTCATACAATACAGAATTAGCTGGGTACAATTCCGCATCAGGTTTTTCGTGGTCGTAAGTTACCTATTCTCAGTACGAACTGATATACTAAAATTCAGAACAAGCAAGGATACGTACGGTTGCTTATCGCCTCTGCTGACTCGTGCGGTCAGAGTACCTCGCAAGATGAGTTCAAACAGATTCTCAAAGAATAGTAGTGGTCCTTCATTGGTAATATTATGTCTACTATTAGCTAAAAGTTCTGGCTTGAAACAAGTCCTTACCACAATACAAATTTTTAGAAATAATGAGTTTGTCCGGGTGGGATGCCCTTAAGAAGACTTTTGGATTGGTAGTCACTCTAATTAAGTACTGGATTATCCGCTAACATGACTGTTATCTAACCACCTCCATTATCTCAGCAGAATTAATAGTCCGGTTGATTTCATTCTTCAGATGTACCGAACTAAAGTGTGAAGATGGTGATTACCTGTGAGAATCTAAAGGTATGGTTAGCAAAGGCCATGCAATAACTCCGTCACTTAACACGTCAATATGGCATTTGGCGACCTGACTGTTACGGAGAATCTCTTAGGATATTATTTCCTCAAGGACGCACGTTCCGGCCCTATACAAAGCTTTTGTTTGTTGTAGACAGTATTAACACTTGAAACCGATGATAATTGCAGCGTCAGTACGCTGCAATTATTGATGATCATACAACAGTCACTAGGATTACGCCAGGAGACTGTTGACCATGATAACGCAGCTCAACCCAGTAACGGGTACATAAACTCGGTTTTGAGCCACATCTGTTATGAAGGCATATAATACTACCCCGTTGTCCAGAGCAAAGATGGGACGAAGCATTAAACAGGAGTCAACTGCTTGGAAATAAAGCCTTATCCCAGAACCATGTTGAACTTTATACAAATGTATGGCATGTAAACCATTGTCATTGAGAAAAGTGAATACTGACCCCTCTATCAACGAAAAATGGACTAGGTAAAAAAACGTTTTCTTGTGAATCTAAGAATTAATACATTGTCCATGAATAAATAATTCGACAACTCTGGGTATCAGAAAAGATTTCTGAGTCATTTCAACTGGTTTTGAGCAATCCAGACAAATATTAAGCTGGCAGGGATTTTCCTAACACCTTAGTTATAAGAAATAACGAAACAGAAAAGGAAGTTGTCAGTAATTCACGTTGTAATTCTGTGAAAGTTCTCTGACATATCGATAAATAGAGAGGTAAGATGCTTTTTAAAGAAAAAAGACTAAGTGTGGCCTAAGAGAACTCTTCTAGAAACGAAGTTTATGGGGAACCCCTGGAAATAACGCATACCCAGCAATGTTTTCTGAGAGCGACTAGAATGCATACAATCCATATTGAAGCTGTCTTATTTTTACTCCAGACTCAAGTCTACAAGACGTTGTAATGGTCAGCTCCAGCCTTGCGTATTATCAACCCTGATATACGCTATCACTGAACCATAATGGATGCTTTTTAAAACCCCGCTGAATCACTTAGGATACGTGAAAAAATAGGATGGTGTTGTCACCTCACCCAATAATACTAGGCTTCAACACTAAGTGAACAACTATCATCCGGTTAGTCTGACTGATGTAGGTGCCATGATACTGAAAGGGACTACTCATAGAGCTATTCCAAGACACAGAAGAGATCGAGTTTTTACTAAAGAACATTATGTTTGTCAGAGTAGTTACTCTTGTTTCACAGACAGAATTGTAGAGAGATTAAACTGAAGCCATCAAGGCGAATACATTTATCGAAGGTTTTGAGTATAAGGGTTTCGGCTAAGGAACCAAAACAGCAACAGACTGTAAGATAGCTCAGACTGAACATCTTTGACATTTACTATCGCTTTACAAGGTTAGCCATAGTTTCGATGACAGTAATTTTCTTGTATGGTTATGAATGTGTGTTTGACGTCATTTATAATATGG